CTTTACTTCGTTTAGTGCAACTGGTAACAAGTGTATTTCCTTTCCCTACCATGCAAATACTGTTCACGTGAGGCTTGGCGCTGAACCTACGCCGACATCAGCCTGCTACAATAGCGGCAAACGAATCACGCTACCCATCTCTCGACAGCACCACTAAAAGCTTACCACGTGACACACGGATGTGCGGATTCGTTGCCGACAATTTTGACACAGGTGTCACGTTTCCCACACGGAATCGTGGGATTGAAAATTTTGAAATATCTGCAATTTTCGAAATGAAATTTTATTGAGCTGCTTAATTCGGAAGACATACGGCCTCGTAGACGCGAAGCAAATATGTTCTCTATTGTGGAGACAGTGAAATAACGGCATTCAAAAGAAAAATACAGTAAGTGGTGCATTGTCGCTTTTGAAAGAAAAAGTTGCTTTAAGCAGCGTGTATAGCATTTGTTCGTCAAGCATGAACAGTCGTTGATAGTTGAAAGGTTTTGATAAGCGAGTGACGGAAAGCGTGAAAGGAATCACATGTGGCATGTGACTCACGGTAAGACATGGCCGCTGCGAGGCAGCCATATGGATCATGGAAGAGAATCAGTTGTCACGACTGCCAGGAGAGTGTGGGAAAACGCCTAATTTTGGAAGGACGGGTGTCTCCCTTTTGAGAGTTGGGAGAATTCTGCATGCTTCTTTGGGGGATGCGAGCGCATGTTCAATCGCAGTACGCGATTAAACCATCAGGTCTAAAGTTTTCCCACTTTGGTGGCAGACTCGGATCATATCCTCGGCCTAGGCCTGCAATAGGCCGAGGCAATGTGTATATGGGCTACGTCCTGAGCGAATTAAATTAGACTTATATGAATAGGCGTGTAAGTTTAGCCCATTCCTTCAGATTAATACAAAATTACGATGTTAACTAAAGTTGCCTTTTGAACGAAATGAGATGAAAATTTGACTGCATTGAACCACTACTATTATACTTTAGGTTGTGTCTTGAATTCTTTGGCAAATGATGAGATACAGCCTGCTGAAGATGTGTGAGGGATGAGTAAAGGAACAGCATCATGACTGAGCTAGGATGATTGGAAGGTCCACTGTGATGGTGCACTAAGCCAGTACCATTTGAACACTATTCTAAAATCTATGTAAAGAGGGTTGGTCCCCAAAAACTAAGAACCTCTCTTTAAGGCAAATGTTAGAGGTTCTTTGGTCACAGGGAGGTGGGGGGTTAGGGTTAGCCAGATTTTCAGAGTAGAGGTACATTCTTGGATTTATAGCCTCTTGCTTTTAGTAGTGTATTTTATTGTAATTAGGCAGCTTCCAACTCTGAACATAGTACATTGTGTCATATCCCTATATATTCAAATAATATTAAATCTCAGGTGTTGTGTCAGAAGTGAATTATTCAAAATGTGAAGTTTTTAAGAACAAAAGATCATCACAAAATCCTATAATTGATTAGTCATGTCTTGTACAGATGTATTTAAGAGCATAACAGCACATTGACTCATGCAGTTTTAATGTGATGTTTCTAGTTTAAGGCCTGAATTCTAGGGAGATAAAAATATCTAATGTTGACATATGTTTTGACCTGACAACTTGGATATTAGTCCTCTCTTAGATGAAATTGGCATAAATCCATAGGTCCTATCCCATGCTCATGATATGAGCCCCTCCCTCCCTACCTACCTTCATATAATAACTTTAGCCTGTTTGCTATTTCATGGGTACACAATAAATCTCATATTTAGCTTGGCCATGATGATGATGATGATTGCCAATGATGCTAAGCTTTTGCTACTTCCTTTCCATTGATGAATATACTTTTTGCCTTCATGCCCTCAGTCATGATTCCAAATGCACTCTGAAGCAAGGGATGGAAAGAGAGTAGGACTAGGCATATTCACTATGAGAATAAGTTATTAGCATAAAGCAGGAAGGCTCCATACTTAATTCCTTGGTGAGTGATGGTTGATTTGAGTTAATAAATGGAAGAGAAGGAGGGTGATGTAACAAACTGTCCCCAGCCCTTGATTTATTTATCTAAAAGGACCAAAAAATGATATTGGGTCATTGAAGATAAGTCTGATCAATACCTTCTTTTAGTGTATACAAGTGGTACACAGCAAACACGAAGTATGCATAATTAATTACATGTACTCTGCCATTTCAGCCCAATCTTGCATGGCCAGTCAAATTCCAATTTACTTCATCTCACTGTCTCTGGAAGATATGCTAAAAGTATCCTCCATGACAGAAGCACACCTTTAGATACTTTGAAAAATTTTAACTCAGTTCTTTCTGCAATGATTTTTGAGACTTATATGCAGTGTTTGGCTATCATACATCTTGATGAAAGGGAGAGGACTGCCATGTACATGGTGTGCATGAGGAAAAATCCATAGTGAATATGTAGGGGTGTGTGTGCAAGATGTACAATAACCTAGTTTTTCTGATAAAAGCATGGTAACTAGCATTGCAGTGCAGTGCGGAATTGACCACTTTTGCTGAAAACTTAATATTCATGAAGCATATTGAAGTGCTTGCATCATTGGATCCTTGACTTGGTAGCTTATGGAGCTCACTATTTTCATAGAGTTAATATTGTACTCTAGTATTGCATTTTGTTACATTTCCCTGTTATGAGTGGCTGTAACAGTTTTTTTCCACTTCAAAAAGTAAAAATTTCCATTTCCATTCCTTAAAAATTTGGAATTTTTTCTTTAAAAAATTGCTGATATTTTCTCATTACTTTTCCAGTTACTTAGTCCTTCATTTTAACCCTAGAAGGAGCAAGGTTAAACCCTGTGACAGGTGAACTATCGATTGATTGGCAGTTGCTGCTTCTAGGGTTAAAAAAATTATACCATAGCTGTACTGCTTATACTTCAACAGTGTGAATGGGTTAAATATACTGAGGGCAAGTGGAGGCTTTCATTTCATGCCAGGTTCATGCACCCTTAACCCCTAGAGCCCCATATATATTTTTTCAAAATTTTAACAAAATTTCAATTTCAAGTTTTGTGTTAAGTACCCTTTTTGAGTTCACTGCATTTTCTGCCTTTCACATGCTGCAATCACATGAAATGTAACTCAAGTGACATTTTGCAGAATGTAGCAGGTAAATGTTGTGAAATTGGGGTGAGTGTGATAATTTCCATTTTAGGCTTTTCCCCAGTTCCCCAATTCACTTGTAAATAGTTGGGTTTACTCATTCACTCAATTAACTCTGTTCCAGAAGATCTACCCATACTTTCTTGGTTAAAGTGTTATATATACCATGGACACATTTATCACACTAGTGATACAATGGTCTTTGCTCTTTCCTTGGTGTGCATTTGAGTAAAGCTCATTCTTAGATATTGTTGACACATTTATGCACTCTGTACAGGATGAGGATGGTCTTGATATGTATAACCCTTCCATTAATTTGATTTTGCCAGTTTTTATTTTGACATTAAACCATTGGCATCAGTAAAACATGGTTAAAAAAGAAGAAAGGTCAGAAAGGTTGGTGAGGAGGTCATTCAATTGTATAATATGCATATTTTCCTCTCTACAAGGGTAGATATTGCTTACTTCCCATAAATGGTAGTATGTTCACTGTCTATAAGGCAGTGAAACCAAGTGTTATTAGAAGAAATACTTGCATCAAGAGAAGTCTAAAATAAACATGCAAATAAAAGGTATAAAATTAACATTTGAACTACTTTGGTTGAATCATATGGGAGCAACACATTCTGCCCAGTATTAAACATTTCACAATTCATAACTACAGTAGTACTCTGTTATTGCAATGAAGAGTGCCAGGTCCCAGCATGGAGCCCATGAGGTACATGACATTTTACCTTGGTTAAAGTGCTAACCTCGGTTATAACAAAGTCCATTCCAGGTCCCACTGACGAAATAGACAATGTTGACATCCCCAATACGTCATTCTTAACTGGAGTTTCTGTCATCGGAAGAGTGAGCAAAAGATGATGTTATGGCTTGCCATAACTTTATCTTTCCAGGAATCAGCATTTTTTTAAAGTGGTAGGTGTGATGGGTAAGGGATGGATAGTCCCCAGTAAATAAAAAGATCATATTACCTTCAGTTGCCATTTGCATTTCTCGTTGACAATATGGCCAATGAAAAGCAAAGAGGCAAGCCTTTGCAGTCAACAAGAAAGTATGCATGGTTCATTTTAAAAGAAAGTGGGCAAAGTAAAGCTGACATCTCTCATGAATATGGACTTCCAAGTTCATCTCTCTCCACAATTTGGAAAAATCGTGACAGCTTCATCCACATCTAGGAGAACATACCACGAAACAGGAAACTTCGTCGATCTGCTTGAGATGATGTCAACAAATCTTTGCTAAAGAGGTTCAAGATCCAAAGAAGTGCAAACATCACAATTAGTGGGCCATTGCTTAAAGTGAAGCCAGTTCAGGTTGGCCGATTTACACTAGAGTTGTATATAGCATCTATTTTGGAAACAAGGAAACAGAATGTCAATGAAGGCAACCTTGGTTATAATGATGATTTTTCACTGGTCCCTTCAATGACGTTATAACTGAATTTGACTTTACTATCTAAAAGTGGTGTAACCAAATGTACTCGCATAGAGTTTTCATGGATCAGTTTTTATCATTAAAAAAGTAACAACTGATTGTTTTTAATCACATTGGAACAAAAGCAAGCCAAATTTATGAAAAAAATTGCCATTTCATCATGCACCTCCATTCTGGGAAATGTCTTGAGAAAAAAACAAGCTCCTCTGAAAGTCTTGGAATGGAAAGTCATTAAATTATACATGAACTGGACTGAGGATTTTTTTTTTAAGTTGCTACTATTATACCCGAAATGCTGAGACCCAGAGCATCCAAAATGGATAAAGGACAAAACTATGTTGCCTAAACTTAAACATAACATGAATAGAGAAATTCAGCTGGAGGATATTTATGGCAAATAATTTTTAGGCTTAAGAATGAATTATCAAATGGTCCTGATGTTATTCTCCCTTATGCCTGTCAGGTCTACCTTCTTTAAAAATGTGTTCATGATCTGGTGTGGAGTCAATACTGCTAGATGAGCACAATGAGTTCTTCAAGACGAGTCGCAGGTAGACCCCCAGACTGGGCACGATTTGGTCTTGAAGTTGAACAGAAGACTCCTGAGCTGGCTGATAATACAGATGAGACAACTCATCTAAAGGAATATTTTGATTACAAAAGGAACATTGGAACTTCTGAGACCAGGGAGTTGTTTGCAGAAGAAACGGTGAGATTCAGTTATTATCTTTGCTAATGAGTCTATGGCAAGTCTTAATTGGGGCTTCCAGATGGAACTTACTACATAATTTAAGTACTAGAACAATATTGGCCAATCGTTGAGACAGGAGTAAATCCATACCCATAACTGAAGTCTCAACCAGAATAGTAATTGAAATTGAGCCAGGAATATATATTTTTTCTTTTGAGTTCCATCCAAAAATAATCCTTTCTGATGCATTTCATTTGTATCGCAAGGTTTTCTCCATTTTTTTTTAGGGACATATAACCGCAAAATAATGTTATTAAGTGTTAACAAAGATGTGAGCTTCAGGATGTTTTCCTATAGATTTTTTTTCAGAAAAAAGTCATTGTGAAAACTGATTGGATAATTTTTGAAAGGAAAAAGGGAATTGTTCCAAGCATGTCATTTGAATAGCACAATTTTAATGTCTAGATACCCAAGCAACATGCCAAGAACAAAGCCAGGAGTGAAATGTTAGTTCAATCATTTGGAGTCCTTGGCCAGTATATTGCAAGGCTCAACATCCAAAGTTGATCAGTGGAAAATTATAATCAGTAAATGATGTTCCAGATGTGGTAAACCTAATTTCATTTCCAAGATAATGGAACAATTTTTTGCATCGTTAAATTTTGTGAAGTTCTGTTTTCGTTGTTCTACCTTCCGACCGCATTTGTTATGTTTCTTGATGATAACACTAAATTCCTGTGAACGTATTTGTTTCATCAGCTATTAACAAGAGGAAATTTTCAAACTGGGGTGCAGGATTATCAGCACTCATTTCGTTTCATACTAAGAAGCACTATTTTGAGAGCAACGATGAGAAATCTTAAAATGTGTGGCCGCCAATTGACATTTGTATGAACAATTCAGATAGGCTTAGTCAGGTTGGAAAATAACTGCTAATCACTCAGCTTTAACTATTTCCCGTTGATGTATGAGTTTGAGCGTGTTTTTTTTCTCGTATTGCAGGGAAGTGAGCCATGGTGGAAGTCAAATTTTTTCGTTTCTGGACCAATCCTGTTTGGAACGTGGGATGGGGTATACACATCTTGCATGATCAACATATTGGGAGTGATCGTTTTCTTACGCTCTGGCTGGATTGTCGCTCAAGCTGGTATATGGAGCTCTGTCGGAGTGATTCTGGTCTCAGGTAATCTCATGAAATATTTCGCTTCCTAAAGAATTGAATCTGAATCCCCAATGGGGATCAACGAAATCCAGTCTTTTCTTGGGACATACAACTATGGTCGTTGTCAAACCACTCACCTTTTACGCTGTTTAAAAAAAAATATTGTAAAATCGCTTTTTATAGCATTAAAAGGAAATTTAATTCGGTCGAACGAACTTTTTAACTCTGCATGAGAATAGATAGAACAAGGTTTGTGCTGAATTTGAAGGAAATCGACGCATTTTGTAACTTGCTACACTAGTTGGAGCAAACCGAACTTGGAGTTGGAAAAATGCATCGTCGATCTCTACTGATGCGTCTGCCCTCAGTCGGTGCAGCGAGCGTCTGAGAGCGTCAAACTTTACAGCCAAAGAAGCAGACAGTGTAGTGTTTTCTCTGGGTAGGGGAAACCAACGACGCTCGAACTATTTTCCGTCTGATTAACGCATACTGCGTTTCTTAGAGCCCATTATGGGCCATCCCAGGGGGCGATCACGTTGTTCCGCCCCTCTCTGAAACTATCTGCTTTCAAGGGTCAAGTCATGGTAGGAATTAATCTTCAGTGACGAAAAACGGGTGTATAGGTCCCCCCGAAATGCGACACGCCGTAATCGTGGGTGCTGCAACTTGACTCGAACGACTCGCCTCTGAGTCGAACGGATGCGCCCCAAGACTCGAACGTGGAATTTCTCCCTCTCACCCAGTAATCTGTAGCGCCAGCCGCAGCAGCCCTTGTGATTAATGTCTGCCGGAGAGGAGACCTTCGGAATTCGTCTCCATTGAACCATTCAAGAGGATTCAGCCTACCTCTGATAGTCCTCCTGGCAGTTTGGTTCAGGATCACGTCAAAAACTTCATCTGTTCATTAGTTTCCATTTCCACCATCGTTAGATGATGCGAGGCAAGAAAAATTAGGCCCACTCCGGTAGAACAGCATGCTGAACTACCACTGAGAATCTGTTTACGGAGTTATATCTGCTACGGAGCAAGTTTATCTTTGAAATTACTTTAAGAGGGAAATTAACTAGTTACATTTGGTGCATGTCACAAATCAATTTAACGATGAGTTCAACTCATTCTTAAACATATTTGCCTGGAATCAGATCAGTTTAGCGCCTAAACCAATATGATGCGTGTCACCCAACAACAAAACGGTCAGCGCCGTGATACGAGTACACCGCTGTGGCATTTATACAGTGCTTTCGCGATGAGTGAATGGCCAATGGGACAACATAGCCCGCTCTCCCCTTTTTTTCCCACCAGACGGCGTGATGCATAGAAGTCCCCAATACCTGTTGTTTTTATTGCTATAAATGTTGTACCAGCTGGTTGGGCAAGCTTCAATTCACGGGATAAAAATTTCCTAATCGAATACTATTTTATTAATTTATCCCTTTCAGACCCTGCGTCTACTTCAGTAGACATCACGTTTTCTTAGTGCTTTTTCGTGATTGTCATGAAATTGCGCCCCATAGACAATTACAGTAGAAAATGTTATGTCCGGCAAAGCACTATAGGAAGCCCTCTCTCGACTGTCGGTTAAATAATACATAGAAGATCAATAAGCAATTGGCACAAAGGCCCATCAATAAAAATTATTCTCTAACTCCCAGGAATAAAAAAAACTGTCGTCTACACAGAAAGACAGTAACTCAAAAGGAAGTGAAAGCGAAGTGAGCCATTTAGTTTCTGAATGCTCTGCAGGCTCCTCATCAGGGGCACGGTCCTGTCTCATCCTCCGTGTGGACAGAAATCTTAATTTACTTAAGTGTACTTGTTGACCTGACCACCTGAACGTGGGAATTCGCCTAGACGGGGGTAGTATTCCTTTTTAAAAAATTTTATGAGAAAAATCCTTGTCAGGTTTTTTTTTTGCAGAATTCCGGTATTGTATTTGAAAATCATTTCAGAAAGCGAAAAAAGTTTATTATTATTGATTTTTGTCGATTCGATATTTTGACGGCGATGATCTGGCCTGCTCCCCTATGGACTGCATTGGAGTTTGCGGAATCTTGTCCACGGATCAGGAACGGAAATACGGGATGATGTTAGTGTAGGGGAATGGATGCTAAGCCCCATCCATTTTCGTTCCCGGTCCGTTTCCTTTCCGTACTGATTCCGCAAACTCATATCATGCATCTACTGACCTTCCCTGTGCACACTATACAGTTTGCAGGTTGCATTCTTCCCTTCATTCTAATTTCATCGTCAGTGGAGCAACACGTCTCCGCATACAACACTTTCAGTCTCTCTTCCAACGTCACATTCTGTTCCCATGTGTCAAGGTTGGCAAAGCGCATATGGCGATTGTTCATGTAGACCTTCGATCTAGAAGGAAAAACATATAACGAATCGAGATTGTTGTCAGATTACAAAGCCTCCTGCCTCGGGAGTCTCTCCCACCCCTCCTCCCCTCTGAAGGGAGAGGCTTGCAATCGCGAACTTGAGTAAGACCTTTACGTCTTGGCCAAATTTATCCACAGGAGAGTTGACATAGAACGTGGAAAAAGCAGGGAAGGGGGGGGTTTGACAACGAACTGTCTTACAAAAACGCATAACTTTTAACCCTTTCGCTGCGAAAGGCGACTTCAGTCGCCCACGCTTCTATTACCTCTTCAAAATGTTCAACAGGGTGAGTCAAAAGTCACTGAACGACTTTGAACACCTATAACTCGGCAAGGAAGGCATTAATTTGCTGACAGTTTTTTGCATAGGAAAGACCGTGCAATAATTAACTAATATGCGACGTTGAAAAAAAAACTATTTATTTGGCGTAAAAATGACTAATTACTGGCTATGACACTGAGCACCATCAAGCTCGATCACGTGAGCCGTCACCGAAGGGGAACTCCAGCAATCTTCTCAATGATGCGTTGCTTCAGTTCAATTATTTTTCGCGAACTTTAGGCATATGGTCTCTAAATGAAACCCCACAGCCAGAAGTTGAGTGGAGTCAGGTCCGGAGACCTGGGAGGCCACTTGATAGGCCCGACCCGGCCTATCCACCTGTCTTCAAAGCAAAAACGACTCTTCACTTCGGAAATATTTCCTTTACTGATGGAGAATAAATTACCGATGGCGACACGTTTCTCCAAAGAAAGTTCATCGGCATTATCAGAAAACCATTTGGAGCAGCAAAAATTAACAGAAAAGAATCGCGAATAGGGCATCCGTTATGCCCTAAATATCACTTTTATGTAGAAAAGTGTTGCTTTTCGTTTTGTGCAGGCTCATCCAATTTCTTATTGGTATTTCTTGCGAATTTCCATGTTGTTTCGTCAAATAACGCGTGCTCTTTCATGTGCAAAAAAACCGTTTTGCTAATTATTGCCTTTCTTGCTGAGTTTTAACCGTTCAAAGTTATCCAGTGACTTTTGACTCACCCTGTATATATATATATTTATAATTAAAATAAATCAAGGTTACAAGTCATTATTTTTGGTCAGCCTTACCACCACCTCATGCCCAGATGCATTTCTGGTCAACCAACCAGGCAACAACATTCCTTGTGCCATTCCTCATTGCTCCTCTGTACGTCACAGCATGGCTTACTATTGAATAGTAATGGAGTAAATTATAACTCTAGTTTTATATACAGAAAAAAGCAACCACTGTGCTTACAAAGGGAATGCTACTCACAAGACATTGAGATGCACATGCAAAGCATGCAAGTTGTATCTGCAGCAGGTCCAAATGAATCTCAAGCTACAGTTTGACTAAGGCTATTGATAGTCCATGCAATCATATGCATCGTGAGCAGATTTCTTACACATCTTTTCTCAGTAAGGTTTTGTCATTTTTTTAAATGGAACTTCTAAATTTGCCCAGTGAATAACTGTCCTCTTCAGGTTTTTTCTTTGTTGGCATTAGAATGCAGTTTTCTTGTTCTTCCATATTCGGCATGATGTTGCCACATTTCATTACACACCATCTAGACTGTTCTTACATATTGCTTGATTTGATCAGCTCTTTCATCTGTGTCAGACTGTTGGAAGTAGGCCTAGTTTGAGCTTCTAAACTCATGCTCCCAGAGGAGAAGGTCATTGTTAACTGCTTAAGCATGCATTATTTTATCCAGAACTTTCTCTGCAATATTAATTATTTCTGATTCATGACATGTTTGTCAGTAATATTTTATTATGACTTCCTGTGTCTCCAATTTTGTGTTATGAATAGAATTTTCTTGCTGGGTTCTTGGCATATGCAGGGTTTCTAGAAGCATCAGAATGCTAAAAAACACTCTCCCTAATTAAGGGGTTATTAACCCTTAAACAGTGGGACTGGTTTTCGTAAGCCATCCTCACACCCACAAAAAACTGACTCCTCCAGATGTCAAAATTAGCATTTTAATTTGATGGAGTAAGCATTGAAATATATACATATGAAATTTTAAGCTTGTACTCACAATAGTTTTGCTGCAGTGGCCAATTGAAGGTGTCGGTTTGAAGGGGGCTCAATGCTTTGTTTGGCCAAATGTAAGGTGCTATAAATCATATATGATGTATTTGTTATGGCTGAATTTGGCATAATATTATGTTAGAGACCTAATGCACTTGACACATGTTAGAAAAACTTAGATAATATCACTCATTTACAACAAAATTTTTCTCCCTACAACACACAAAGAAAGTGCAAATAGGAACTAAAAGTAACACTTTTCAAAATAACATACTTATCCTAAAAATGGTATTCCACACTTATTCAATGTTTTTTGAATGTGTGGTAATCTCTAAAGCATGGCACCATGCACAGAGGCACCTTACACTCAGCACACCTATTATATATGTCCCTCTGTTTCCTGGGGCCCCAATAATATATCAGATGTTTCATTGTCTGATACACCCTGCTGCTTTTTACCACATTTTGAACCACTAAGTCCAGAAGGACCAGTCTTAGCAAACTTGGATGCATGCTTGGGGCATTACCTGCATAGTCAGGATAACATGCCTAGAGGCATGTCCCATGGTTTAAGGGTTAAGTATGTATTTGTAAGTTACCTCTTGTAGGCTTCCCACTGCTCATTTGGTGGCAGATGAACATTGAACTTTCTCTTTAACAGTGAGCTTATTCTTCACATTCCCACTTTATGTAGGTCTTACAGAAGGACTGACACTGATATCTTTTTGTATTTTGCAGTGTTGGTGATACTAACTTCAGTGTTATCTGCCATTGGTATATGTGAGAGGAGTCAGATTCAGTCAGGTGGAGTTTATTTCTTGCTGAGTCAAACAATGGGCTCTCGATTTGGAGGTGCAGTGGGCATCATCTATTGCTTTGGTCAAGTAAGTCTTGTTCTCCTGTGTTTATTGCTATCTCCATTAGTCAACTTTGACTTGAAGTTTTCTTCTTGCAATGACTGGGACAGACGGAGAGATACACACATATGCCTATTGGCACAGTGCCCAGTAGGAAAGTTCAATGTATCAGACATCACCAATCCCATTTCTGTATCTTCCCATTTTCTGCAAGTTGTGCTGCTGAGGCTGTAGGGCTGTCTATCACTCACATTTGGCCCTCAAGGCCAATGAAGCAATTGCTGCTGAGGTGTACCAAGCCTCTAACTTGGTCACCATGAAGCTTTGAGTGGCCGGTACTACACATAAAGAAGAGTGGGTAGTACCTTAAAGCAGTTAGGTGAAGGGTCAAGAGGAACCTGCTTGCTGCCAGCTGGATTTAAACTTGGATCTACTGTGTGCTAGCCTCAGACCCTTATCATTGTTGCCAGTGCTATAGTAAGGGAAGAGAATTGCTCCAAGCTCTGCAGCAAAGGAGGTACATCACCATGAATGGAGTTCAACCATAAATTTTTCAATGCAATTTTGTTCAAGTTTCCAAGGTTTCCATTCATTTGGAACTGTTTTTTTTTTATCTTCTCAACTGTCAAGTTTACTGTTCCAAGTTCAGCAGTATTTATTTTTGGCTTAGGTCTATTTGGATTTTGACTGGCAAAATGAGGTAATTTATTTCTGTCAGAGATGTTGGTTGTGCCTTTAGCCGTGAAATTAATGAATGGACTTGTAAGAGTAAGTTTTCTGGGACTGGTGGGAAAGGTTGAGGAGTTTGTAAAAGCCTGGTTTAGTTCCAGACAATAAAGCTTAGTAAAGTAAAAGTGCAAGCAGTTAAATTTAGAGGACACAATCTTCAGGAGCCCATTTTTTGAAACAATATCAGCTTCATCTGAAGAAAGATGTCATCATCAATTAACTTCCTTTTGGAGCAAACATAAAGGATATGTCTCATAATGTCTATCTTTCAGAATTCATCTTCAGGAGGCAATAATATTAAAGTTGGCACTGACTCATGTTATTGTGACCAATGTTACACAGTGTTGAATAGCCAAAGAATATGAAAAGTTGTTGGATTAATCCTGTTTTTTGTGCATTCCATTTGAGTAAAGCTTGTGTACAGTGTGATAATATCAAATATTTTATTCCCCATCCTTGATTTGCTTCAAAAATGTAGGATTTAACATTTTTAAAATGTTGTCCCAATATTTGCAAAATGACCCATGGACTTAAGCCTTCAGTTGTGCTACTCTTTTTTCAACAAGTGGAGTGGAAAGATGAATAGAAGCAGGGGGATTTGAACACCATTTTCCCTCCTTGTTACCTAACCGAAAAGTTATCAGATGCCTTGACTTTTAGGTTTGTCAGATTGGCTTTAAAAAAGATTAAGATTAAAATATATTTTTCCATATAGATGCTTCAAAAGCATTTTAAAATTTTGCAGCTTTGAAAGTTTTTGACCTTAGCTCATTTTTCACTAACATGAAATATGAATATACTTGAAAAGAATATACTGAAATATGAATATACCCTTGAATATACTTGTTTGGCCTACCACCCACTTCCAAAATGATTAAAATTAAATTAAATTGTTTCCATAGATGCAATATATTAATTACTGCTGACAGGCAGATGTCAAGATAACCAATATGAGGCTCTGCATATACGAGGGCTGTTCTGAAGGTTCTTAGTTACGTCATACATAACAGGACAATTGAAAAATTCATATTCGTATCATCAGGCGAAAGAACAATCCATTCCTGAACGTTTCTGAAGATAGCCGAAGTCTTATCATTGGTCTATAAAAGCGGCTGATGCAATTGAAATTTATCACTTGTGGCTTGCGAGGAATTCTGCTTCACAACGCACCGGCGCACAGTGCCGCTCGGACGATGGACTTTTTACACCAATCTGGTGTCCAACTTTTTGAGTCATCCATCTTACAGTCCGGACCTAGCCCCTTGCGACTTTTTTATTTCCTACAATTAAAAACAAGATGCGGGAAGGACATTTTTGCATGCAGATGCAGTCTTCGCCAAATTCACGAGCCTGTATGAGGACATGCCAAAAGAAGCATTCTCATCTTGATTTAACAAATGGTTTCAAAGAATGAGTAAGTGTATAAGTGTTGGGGGAGACTCCTTTGGAAAACAATAAATAGAATTCAACAAAATTATTGGCCTTTTTTCTTTAACTAAAAATTTTCAGAACAGCCCTCATACCACCCATTTCCAGCTGAATTCCACTGTTCCACCAGAGTTGTCGACCATATTGAGCTTCTTTGATTACAACAGTCCAGTTATTTGTGAAATGAAAAATAAAAAAGGGTTGGCAGAGAAAATCAGCCTGCCCATATCATTTTGGAAATGGGTGGTATATGCAGAGACTCATATTGGTTATCTTGACATCTGCCTGTCAGCAGTAATCAATATATTGCATCTATGGAAACAATTTAATCAATGGTCAATCAAGTTTCATGCTTTTGGTATTAACCTTATTTGGTCTCTTACTGTAATGGTAAAGAGAGCATTAGTTTAGTTCAGACCATATTATCTTAGGTATAATTGAGTGAATTCATTTCACTGTGTCCTTTTCATTATATTAGTTTTTTCTTCATTTTTGTAAAAAGGCAGTTTAATGATGTTATGTCAGGTCTTTAAATCTGTGAGTGTGATGTCTGAACTTCATTTTTCCCTGCAGGCAGTGGGTTGTTCACTCCATGCATCAGGCTTTGGTGAATCCATAGCAGACCTTTTCAGCATTGATAACCCTTGGGCAGAAAGAGGATTCGGAGTGTGTTTGATTGTCCTCCTAACCGGGATCAATATGGCTGGAGTGAAATGGGTCATAAAGCTCCAATTCATCCTCCTTCTAATACTCTTCATGGGTGCTGGTGACTTCGCCATTGGCAGCTTCCTTCCTCCAAAAAATGGTTATTTTCATTTTTCAATTGTTATCTTTATTTTGGCTTTTGTTTAAGTGGTAAACTCAACTTGGGTTGTTAGATGAAGGAAAAAGCTCATAGGAATAGCCAAGAACTAAAAGATTCAGTGTAGAATAAACTAACATCCTCACTGCACAATAATTTATAATTCCATACCTTATCTCAGCTCATTAGTATTTACCTGCCTATTTACACATTCCACCTAAGAGTATCACATCAGCTAGTACCATTCAAACACTACAGTCCAATCCAATATGTGTACATCAACTTACGGTACTGTCAAAGAGAGAATCCCAAAAAAGGCATATTAAAAGGTTATTCCAAACTCCATGAATGGAAGGAAATTCTGTGCCCAACTGAGCTGCCCAACTTGGTTAAGTTTCTGGAAATCCTAAAGGCAGGTAAATACTAATGAGCTGTCTTGAGAATTTAATACTCACTGAAAAGTTTAATTGCACCTAGAAAACATCTTGGTTTCTTGGCATTTTAAACTGTTTCTGGAAATGTCAATATTGACATTTTCTTGAACTCTGGATGACTTCATCATGTCTGCATAAAAAGCAAGAACTCATGATTCTTGGTATTGTCTGGATCAAAATTTTTATTATAGCGATTTTTTTTTTTCTTGGAGATCAGTAATTATCACCTATGCAACCAACATTGGGGAAATTAAGGACAGTGCCATCTGCACATGAGCCATTAATCAAAAACCACTTTGCATGTCCTTTACAAGTGCATAATGTAAGAACCAGCAAGGTTCCTTGTTGCTAACAGAAGAGATTTCTATTGTCTTTGAAAAAATCATAAATGGTTGGATAAATACCTGATTAGAATTTCTCTCCAGGACTTGCATTCCTCTGATCTAATGACGGGTATGAAAATTAAAATTAAAAAGAGGACAAAGATTCTTCCTCTTAGTAAGAATGATAAATTATCCTTCTTTATCTTAAACCCTCAAGTTCTGGATACAAACCATTTGAAAGGGCATTGCTATCTGGCATGAAATGGATAGGACAGCATATGACTTGCAATATACAGGGTGTCCTAAAAGTCACTTTACTGAGATTATACACACATTCCAGGGAAAAAACTACTTCATTTACAACCAACCACCAGCAGAAAGTGACAATGAGGAGCTACAGAAATTGTTCAAATTGTTGTCCATGTTCAATGCACATTTCACACCTGCAAATAAAAATCTGAATGCAAGTGAAAATAATCACTGTTAAACACTTCACTGTCTCAGTAAAGCAATTTTTAGGACACCCTGTATACTTTTTGTGAGCAATTGGAGCAGAATATTGACTTCATACTGGAAATTGTCAAATGGAATAATCTCCTATTCATCAAGACTATCACCTCTAGTGAGTAGTGACAGCATAATGCCATGAGTGTTATAGTACATACAGTCATAAGGGTAACCATCTTCCAGCAATTAAGCAGATTTCGAAAGGCCTATTATGTCTAGAGAATTTTCCCAAAATATCCTGATTGACTGTCTGACTTTGGAGATCAAGGGTTAAGGTGCCACTAAAAAATTAGCAACTGTTTGGAGCACCCAAAATCAAACCAATCAGATGAGTAACACTGATGGGTGACAATGGATATCACTGGGTAATATATGATGTTATCCAGTGATGTTAGAGTGGTAATTGCTAAGGATTAACATTGTAAACTTAATTATTTCTCCCTGTCAACACAAGTTCATTGGTAATATCAAGAAATGTTATGGGTAACTCTTAGTGAGCCTTTCCTTCATCTGAATCTAATGAAGCTATCATGGATTTGAGTGTTCAGATTCAGATTTTGACTGGGATTTACAGACATGTAGAGTTTGAACAAGAATTAGGAGCCTGCAAGATGTAGGCAGTTTCAGTTCATGCAATTCATACATGTTTATCTGTTATCAAATTAGCTTCAAAGTAAGATTCCTTCCAATGCTGCTGGAATGCTTCTATTCATGCAGGGACTGGATTTGAAGGATGGAGCTTGGAAGTGTTCAATAACAACTCCCTTCCAGCATATACTGAAGGGAACAATTGGTTTAGTATTTTTGGAGTATTCTTCCCAACGGTGACTGGGGTCATGGCAGGCATTAACATGTCAGGAGATCTCCGTGACCCAGGCAAGAGCATCCCCACTGGCAGCCTCTCTGCTATTCTCACCAGGTGTGTCTAAGTATTGTTACAAGTTCACAACTCCACCATTTTGTTTGTGAAATATTGTTTGGCTAAAACAAAGTGAAAGTCTGAAATGATTGAACTATCACTATAGAAAATTTGAAAGGCTGAAAGGAAACCTGATTATCTGCATGAAATGTCTGAGAAACCTACAATTTGTCTAATGCACACAGACCCATTTTCCATTCATTGAGGTCATTTGTGGGATTTATGTAAGTGAAAAATGGTCTGTCAAAAGCTACCACTTTTCCTCCCTTTTAAGGTGACAATTACTGAAATAATTTCATTGTGTCTCACAATGAAATCATTATCCACCAATGAATAACACAGCACCCCCTCAGCTTTTGATTTAACTCCTTCACTGATAGATGCATCAAGAGAATTTCTCAGCATATGTTCATTTGGTTGAGTTTCTTTCATACAGACTTATTTTGGGTGCAAAAAGAGAAATCTGCCATCAACTTCATTTTCTTTTTCAGTACATTCATGTACCTGATGTTTGTGGTGATCTTGGGATCAACTGTAGCACGAGATTACCTCATGACAGACTATCTCATCATGCAGAAAGTTGCTGCCTTGGGTGAGCTAGGGCAAAAATATTCAATGCTTTCTTCTCCCTCTCTAATCAAGATGACATTGGATACCTGTATGATATTTGTATTGGAATCTCCCAGGTGTTCTTGTGCTAATGGGCTTGTATGTGGCCTCCATGTCAAGTGTCTTGGCAGCAATGTTTGGCACCCCTCGGGTTCTGCAATCCATTGCAAGTCAAAAAGTAATTCCAGCCTTGCAGTTTCTGGAACGAGGAGTAAGTCTGCATTTTATTGTGTTGATCTCAATAGGTATCTACTTATCTTCATAAGTAAGTTTTATGGTTTATTTTTCATTTCCAGAGAGGCCCCAATAAGGTTCCAGTGATGTCCCTTGCTTTAGTAGGGCTTCTGATCTTGTGCTTTGTTCTCATAGGACAAATAAATCGCCTAGCACCTATTGTGACCCTACCATTCCTCCTTACCTATGCTTCTGTGGACTATTCCTACTTTGCACTTGCACAGTCCTTTGAGATCCAGCAGAAGAGATCTGTGAAACCCAAGTGAGTTATCATCATATGTGTGAGAATTTCTTTGGTTATGACCTGCACTGACAAAGGTAGTCTACCTTATAGATCTTTAATTCAGGTACTCTGGTTGCTTGCCTTTTACTTTGAAAGTATGCTAGGTGCCATCTTAACCCTGTAACCACTGTGATGGGTGCCATGGACACTGATTAAAAAATGTAATCATTTGTTAGACTGCACCATAAGCTTGAAAAGTCTAATACTCAGTGTATTTTCATGAAGACATGCTATAGTAATTGGGCTTTTTTTTTTAAGAGATTCTATGGGAATGACATTGGCATTGACTTTTATTTCTGTGCTTCTGTACATGATACAGCACTTCAAAGCTCCATTCATTTTTTTTTATCACTATGGGAATGAAGAAAATGAAGAAATGAAACAAAGAGTTAAATATATTGCCTTCCCAAGTCAAGATCATCACAAGTCAAACCATTTCTTCACAAAATTACTTTTAACAACTGCAGTAATGACACAACCAGCCATAAATGTATATAATGATATAGTTAACACTTGGAAGGTAACCTATTGGCAGTGAACTTTTCCTGTTTTAAGACAAGTTTTTTAAATGTTGAACAAAAAATTTAGAATGCAATCTCAAAATCAGGTTTTTTTTTGGTCATGATGATCTTGAACTGGGAAGGTGATATGTCCATCCAGGTGCTGATAGTTAAAGGGTTAAACCCTTTATTGTGAAGGTCATTACACATTTACTTTCTTGCCATTCAAAGAGGCAGTTGTCAGACAGATAGACTCTCAGGCATGTACAGGGTGGCAATTCATGAACACATTTGACTTGCTAATAAATTGTTTTATTTGGATAGTACAAATTCAAGATAGCAAACATTTAAAAGAACATAAAGTGGAAATATTGTTGGCATAATGTACACATTCCTCCAGTTTTTGAAAATTACTGATGTCAGGTAACTTCCACCCTAACGTATGCATTCACGGCAGTGAAAAGAGAAATTGTCCTTGACTTGCTGAAGAGTTTCAGGGAAATGAGGCTTATTTTGTTTCTGATGTTTTTCATTTCAGTTAACGTTCATGGTTTAGTCAGATAGACCTTGGACTTTAAGTAGCCCCCACAAAACAAAGTCTGGAGTGGTTAGATGAGGTGATCGGAATGACCATGGAATGCTTCCAAACCTCTAAACAACATGATTTGGAAACTTCAGCAAAATTTTTATTGTTTCAATGCTTGTATGACAAGCACATCCTGCTCCAGTCTTTGTTTTGTGGGGGCTACTTAAAGTCCAAGGTCTACCTGACTAAACCATGAACGTTAACTGAAATGAAAAACATCAGAAACAAAATCAGCCTCTTTTCACTGCCATGAATGCATACGTTAGGGTGGAAGTTACCTGACATCAGTAATTTTCAAAAACTGAAGAAATATGTACAGTATGCCAACAATATTTCCACTTTATATTCTTACAAATGTTTGGTATCTTGAATTTGTACTATCCTAATAAAAACAATTTATTAGCAAGTCAAATGTGCCCATGAATTAATTGTTGGGTGTACTTTCTATTTTTGCAAAAATTTAAACGGACATGGCATGGACATGGAAGTGCACATGACAGACATAAACTACTTGTAGATTGGGTTCCCCAAAGGGCTTGCACCACACACACAGAACCTCCCTAGTTATGGTGCTAATATAATGAATTTTAGGATTTCTTCATCTTCCCCAATCCTCATTTTAGTTTTCATACCTTATTAATGTTCTCCTGTTGCTTTCCCAGCAGGGCACTAAAGAATCTTCCAAGTCCAAGTTTTGAAGCTAATGTCCAAGCATCCCCTGCATCAGGCTCGAGGCATGTGAGTTCATTGTCTTCTCGCCTTGGTATCACTGATTCTTCAATCAGCTATGTGTGAGCTATAAGTCAAATGGGAATCCTGACCCATGTTGAGGATAAGTACTCAGTGGTTTAAACTGTTCCTATTTTATTTTGGTTCAGAGTCTGGCTGCTGAAGTCTATTGATAGTGATATCAGTAGACAGTCCTTTACTTAATCTCATTCAAGATACAAACACTAAGAGGATATCTATGCATGGACACACCCACACATGCACATGATCATGCTGTCATCTTTCCACCACCTGACCATGTAGTAATAGATTTAGAGTTCTTGGGACAACCCATGAGGTGATAGAGTGGGGGGGTGGAGGCTTCATGACCACAAAGAGAACCATTTACATGGGTTATGCTGAGGGAACGATGGTTCTTGTTGGTACAGATGAGGTTGTAAAACCCATGCCATGAGAACCATGTTATTATGTGATTATTTTTCATGCATGTCTTGGTCCAGAAATGGTCCTTCATGGCAAAGGAGTTGAGGAAGTTAAGATTGACTTTGCTTTGCTTGCATGTAACATCTTTATGGTGAGCAACCAGTGACAGTTTCAGAGACAAGAAACACTTGCTGGCAATCTTCAGTGAATTACATTTATTGTGTCAGCATCTGAATGATCTGGTTGGGAGTGTTCTTCAGCAGACCAAGGAGACACTTGAAGAACATGTGTTTTATTCAATCGAGAAAGTGTAAATTTGGTATGGGGAGGTGAGGTCAGATACAATTCAAAATATATGTCATAATAGGCTTGATTTTGATGTTGAAGAGGGCCAAGGCTGTTTTGAAGGATAGATTTATCAGGATCTTGATGAATGATGGAAAATATGACCACTATACAGGCTTGTACTTTCTTGGCAAGATGCCTTGAAAAGCAGCCATATGATCGGAAGGTAACACCAAAGTATTCATATGCCTGCACAATCTGTAATAGTGCTCTGCTGTATGAAAGTTCATCTGTGGATGCCAAGCAGCCACCTTTTTGGAATTTTGTTATTTGAGTCTTTGAGGTGTTGACCTGAATTCCATTTGCATGTGGTATTGCAAAATTCCAAAGCCTCCATTCTAATTATCCTTTTCCTCATTGAATATGATCATATGGACCATTCTCTGATTGAATGGAACAATTCATATTAAAATATTTTACTTATATGTGGTGCTTGTGTTGCATTGAATGTTATAATCAGGACCACGAGGGGGAAGATGCTGAGGGATACTCTCCATTTTCTCATCTCCCTGAAGAGGAAAACAATCCAGGAATCAGAAGGCAGCCATCCAGTTGGTACTCTCCCCTCTGCAATAGATGGGTTTCACTCATTGGAGTAAGTCTCCTTTTCCTATGTCAAGCATGTAATGCAGAGTTTGTTCATCCCCTGGTTTACATGGGAAAACATCTAATGATGCACTCCTTTCTCTTCTAGGCTGTGACAAAGATTGTGGTGATGTTGCTTGTGCATTGGGCATATGGTTTAGTGTTGCTGGCCCTGACAATAGCCCTTTATGTGTACATTGGAAGAGCCAGTACTGGCTTTTCTCCAGGTTTTGCTTCTGAATTCTCCTTCTTCAGGTGGATCAAGTCAAGCTTCAATAGAATTCGGGGGTATGTTGCTGTTTGCTGGATAAAACCTTTTTACCAGACTGACTACTTTGACAAAAAAAATTGTGCAAGTTTATTTTTGCATGACAAATTTTTTAATGACTACAATATTCATCACCACATCACACTTTGTCATCCATCTGAAATTTATCAAGTGTGACTTTTTATCCTAAATGTGGATGGAATAGGATAAAATTGTATACTGAATAAATTTTGAGCCAATAAAGAAGTGAAAATATTGTTGGTTAAAGTAAAAGCTCTTTTTAAAATTTTCATTTTAATGTATCAACTGTGTAAAAGAGAGAAACACACCACTTCATCCAGACAGATTCCGCATTCTTGGTCTTCCAGTATTGTTTGAGTACCCACTTGTGTCGATCAAACATCAAATTCCCAGCCATCACTGTCTATTAACTACCTGCACATAAAAATAAAAATAAAATAGGCAACTGTATACCTACTTTTGGCACACCCTGTTTATGTGATATTAAGATGGGCTCTTTGCTTAGGTGCATGTTGTTCCTTGTGTCAGTGAAAATATAACTTTAAAATCAGAGTTTTTTCTCTTGGTAGTGAATTTCTGCCTAATATGCAAATTATTATTCTCAAGACTCAATTTTAATTTTATCAATTTCGTGAATTTCTTACTTGTGAAGCTAGCAAAAAGATTTTTGTAATGGAAGCAGAAAATGGCTTACACCTGATAGGCTTTCTTTGCCTCCAAGTCTGGAATATGAGACCTCATGGGGCTTCCTGTCACATAACTTTAACCTGGATCTTTATGATTCTCCTTGACATGGTCTCATCTGTTTTTGGATGTACAGGGTCTTGCATAACCTTTTGCTAGGGGGGTACAACCTAAAGTACAAACAGAACAATTGTAAGTAACATATCAATTTCAACCTTTATTCAATTTGAATACAGTAATGCATCAGTATTTTGTGTGACAGCCATTAGCTTATATACAGCCCTTAAACATTTATGGTGAAATTTCAATAAATAAATAAATAAATGTTTACATTTTCCAGTTCATGAATAACATTTTGGAAGTTTTGAAGGACAGCAGCTTCAAAATTTTGATCAAATACAAGCTCATTAATCATCATACTTTCTATTTTGTCCTTAAAGCTATTATTCCTTTCTTAATATGGTATCACTGTGACATTGACGGATTAACAATCTTTCTGCACCTCCTTGAGATACTTTTGGAACTTGACCACAGCTTTTCTCTTCCTCTTCTTCCACTGTTCTCCATCACAACGTTTTTGCTCTCTTCAGACAATTTTTCCAGCCTATCATCACCAAATTTTGTAAAACAAGATTTGCATCATTTTTACCAATTGTCAGCAAGTCAATCTCTCACTGCGATGCAGTGGTGAGCAATTCACACTAAATTTATTAATGTTGTGCCTGCTTCCCTTACTTCTCAATATGCATATGCTTGAATACAGTCTATTACACTTTGCCTCTCGCCAATGCCAATGACCCCAGGAATTTTAATTATTAATGACCAATTTAATATCAGAACAAAATTAGCTTTTAAAATATGTATAACACTCATATTTTTGATGCTCCATAACCTCTCCAGCAAAAGGTCATGCAAGACCCAGTATTTATGGACTGTGAAGTATAAGTTCAGTGGGTGGCAGGCCAAGTGAGGTGGAAAATTGACCATCAGACCATGTGTGTGTCACACAAGCTTTTGTTGCACTATGATTCTTTGATATTCCCTTTAATTTGTGGATTTATAGGAAAGAAGTGGTGAGCTATGAGGAAATGATTGTGGCTGCAGACCCACCAGGCATTTCAACAGAAGAGTCCCAGGTGACAGAAGGTAATGCTGATTTCTCCTGGAGGGAGCCATTTCATCAAGTGGCTGCCGTGGGTCACAAGCACATGGACCGGCTTTCCAAACAGTGACCATCTTCCCTTCTATCATATCCATGATGTTCTCAAGCAGCTCCCTTTTTCTTCCTTTGGAATGAGCTTTTCATCATATCGTTTTTGATATTCATACTGATCTGGAGAAGTATAATCACATGGTGTTTGCAATAGGTTGACAGGCTAAGGAACTAGCTCCTCAAGAAGAATCCTAGATGACCTAGTATTTTAGACAGCAAGAAGCCTTTTTGTGTTTTTTTTCTCTTCACACAAGATTTTATTGATTCCTTGTACAAACAGGATGGCGAATATTGAACAAAGCAGTTGCAATTTAGTCTGTCAGAAACCTGGTGCTAGAACCAGATGATTATGTTTCCAATTTCCCTGATGATTCTAGTGTTTCCTCTTTATTTTTGCAACACTCATGAATCATCTTGAAATCATCTTGGAGGGATATTGAAAGAAGTAATGGATGTTGTGAATGTATTCGTGTGGATTAATGTTTATTGATCTAAGATTGTCTCACATCAGAAATTCTGGACTTGGGCTTCTACTTTTGCAGACTAACAAATACCAGGTGATGAATGTCTGCATAATGTCTTTCACTCTCACCAAAGATTTCTACTTATCTCTTTTGTACATATGAGAGTATTTTTTCCTGTACCTCTCAGTGTTCAAGGTTTTGCTCCATGTTTGGACTGTCTTTATGCAATTAAGAGTCCTGATACCTCTCTTATACAGACCCACCCATTCCTACATCATTACCTGCCTATGACTATGTAGTTGTGATTGAATCCATCCAAGCAGCTAATTGTTTCTGTGGAAGTTCTTGCATATCCATCATAGATCTGTTCAAGATGGATGCCTTTTAGAACACCTGGATGATGCATGATGAGACACATGTTTGGGAATTTTTGCAGACAAGTGTTTGGATGAAAGAGTGATCCTCATTTAGTTGATTTCACTACTTCTCTCCACTAACATATCAATATTGAGGGAGAGAGGTAATCATGAACTTCTTTTTTCTTCATTGTGAAGACACAGTAATCTTACTTGTAAGATTACTGTTTCTTGTTTCTTGTTTCATGAAGAATTTCATCAGTTGCATCATTTTTTGCTGTTCAAAATGGTTACTCAGTTCATAGAACATATTGTGATGTAGGATTGAATTTATTGTGACTGAAATGTTTGTCTCCTGGAAAAAAAAGTATGCCCCTTGCTAGCAGAATTGAGTGTGTTCGGTAGCAAAGTTTGCTGCATCACTGAGCATATATTTATTTGGTTTTTCCTCATTGGCTGCAGAAGATAAGCAGCCTGACAGCACTGGTCATGAAAGAGAGCAGCATACTTTTTTTAAAATGCATTTCCACTGCAGTTACATCAATGAATTCTAGTCTAATATGTTCGCTGAAGTGTGTGCTTTTTCCTCTTCAGGTTATAACAGCTGTTGTATGTTCATTGAATTTTATGGCTTAATTATTGATCTTCCTTGACTTTGTTTGTGATTCCCCCTATTCATTATTCTTATGGATCATTGGGACTGTGTTTTCAACCTCCTCAATCAGGCTGCATCTACATAATGGGAATACAGTGTCATATTGATTGATTTGCATCCCTTATAATGGCTGCATTGAAGAGAAATCAAGAGTTTGGGGAATCTCTAGGGTTCTGATTAACCAACCCATTGGCATTGAAATTATTACATTATTTGCATACCATATTTTAGCATTTATTTTTTTATATAATCATTACTTTACAAAACGCAATGATTTTAGTACTAAACTTGAGTGCAACTGCTTGAAGTTGGTTCCACCAACTCACTGAAGGAATCATTATGAATTTTTATCCTAGTCTTGGAGTACCATGCCTGGTAGCAATACTACGAAATGGTCTCATAGATCAATGCCAATGGGTCAATTGAACAGAAATAAGATTCCCAAACCAGGCATAGAAGAGAAAAGAGGTGTAGTAAAATCCAGTTATGCCAAAAAGGCTTCTGCCTTTTTGGCATAACTGGATTTTACCACAGAAGTTCTTTTGCTACCAGGTGAAGTTCATGGGAAGTAAGATTTTTTAACATATGTGCATGAAGCTTGGGATGCGAAATGTATTTGGAGAATTTAATATTTTCTGATTTTATTTTGGTGGGGTTTTATTCTAAAACTTCAGTTTTTTTCAGAGGTGGAATATGCTCTGAAATCTTTAAATTATAATCTGTATCTGTAAGGTAAGTATCTTATGATTCTATGTCATGAAACAGAAAATTGAGTGTGTGATTGTACTTGACATGGACATCAAGGATTTTTTAAGTGTGACATGCACCAACTGAGGCATTGGATTTGTTTAAAGATGAGATAAACATTTACCAAACATATTTGAGAATGTTTATCTTTGACATGCACCACAGAAAATTATATTGGTTTCCATGAACTCATTTATCCATGATTTAACATGTTTACATGTTTAACCCTAATCCGGGCAAGGTGAGTCCGCTGGACTGTCTACGACATATTTCGGTCTATTACTGTCATTATTTTTTTAAACTATCAGGACCATTGAATAAATCGTCTGTATTATTTTAGTTACAGTACTGTTATTTATAAGAATACATACCGTAACCGCAGCAAACAGCCTTATTTTACATGAGTCTGACAGACTCACCTTGCCCGGAATAGGTTGTAAAAAAGCTTGCCCGGACGAGGGTTAAAGGCAGTATGTATGCACTTGGAAAGAGAATGATAATAATTATGTGTCAGCTGCTGCTCCTCTGTCTGCACTAAGTCAGGGAAAGTGTCCTTGAAAAGATGAAGTCTTGTTCAGAATTCGTTGAGCCATTGATTGAACCATTCAAGAGGATTGAGCTGATCTCTGGTAGTCCTCCTGGCAGGTTGGTTCAGGATGATCTCAAAAGCTTCTATGTCTTCATTAGTTTCCATTTACACTGTCCCTATATGATGAGAGGCCAGAAAAATTAGGTCCAATATGGCAAAACAGCATGCTGAACTAACTGCTACTTTATTAGTTTAAAAGAGAAATCAACTGATTGCATTTGATGCATGTCACAAATCAGTAATAATATGAATCAGCTCATTCTTAATTATATTTGCCTTGAATCAGATCAGTTTAGCTCCTAAACTGATGCTGTGCATGTCACCCTAGATTCAGATGGCATGGCATCTATTTTTCATGGGCCTAAATTCCCATTAGTATATTAAGGACTCCTGCACTGACAAAGAGTGTCCACAGTTAAATATTATTCCACCTTATGTACTGACCAGAAGAATGGCTGTGATAAAATCTGAGTGGAAGTAGGGATGGCATATAAAAGGAATCTGAAATGTGTCTGTCCAGGAGTACCTGTCAGTTATCCTGGACCTTTGCCAAATTCTTCTTTGATGGAAAGGAAAAGTTTAGAATAACATTTTTGCATGAGTGACTCATTTGCCAATTATGGAGCCATGTATCATGCTTGGCCATCGTGTATGCCCAAGTATGTATACCATCCCATTTCGTCTTTTTGACCTGATGTAGCTAAACCCATCATGAAGATGCAGACCTGATGATGTTTGGAGTTACATACCTTATAGAACCCCTGGAAAGAGACATCTTTATTCTATTTTCACTATTATGCATAAACCCCCAAAGTGCATGTTTGTTTTCTTCTTGAACTCTCCCTGTATTAGTCCCAAGTTAAATTATTGTATGGTCTTCCCTCATAACTTAACTCAAAGCTTTAAGCAAACACTTGCAGCTTTATTCTTCAGCTTTATGATTATCTTTGTACTCTTTCTTGTGTGATGGTGTTCAGTGTTCACTAAGTGTTCCTGATGAGTTTCCTCATGATTATATTCTTTCTGATCACTGGGTAGCACATCATGAGCAGGCTACTTACTACTTCAAGCTAGAGAGCAGCAATGGTTCATTAGCCATCAGCTTGCTCAAGAACTTGAAATTGCCTCAGGATAGTAATTTAATCAAGATAAACTGAGTAATGATTCATATGCTATTACAATGGCACAGTGTAGATGGCATAATTTATTTCATGTTTTTCTAATAAATTTAGTTATACCTGACCAGTCCATGGTGGTGAAGTGTTTGAACCATAATAGGCAGTACCATGTGGTCTTCAGAACAAAGAGACGTGGCATTTGCATTACTTATGGATCATTTGGCTCTTTCAGGATCCAGCTGGAACCTTGTTACAAATGTTGAATAGAGGGTGGGAAAAGTCTCATGGAATCCGTACTACATTCTTCTGATTGAATAAGCATATTTTTGTCTTTCATTTTGCACTTTTCTATTAGCCTTTTTCTCTGCTTGATATGGTTGTATGTCCTTCCCTTTTCTCAACTTGGTTGTGTTCAAAAGTGTAGGCTGCAGCATGCTTGAAAGTCCACCCCTGTCAGACTGTTTAAATATGTTCAAATTCTAAGATGCATCTGCAAGGGACTGGCACAAAGCCACTGACGAATATGTTGTTCCACAGCCACCACTCCTAAGCAATGTGTGCTACCTGAAATTATTGTAAACGCTAATTTTCATGATTTAGATTATTTTCCAATATTTTATGATTTTTTCATATTGTCTTTATCAGAGCTGATTATACAAGCATGATTGGGTGTTGTCGCAAATAAAAAGATATGTTTGCAGATTCCTTTTCTTTATTTGAAAGGAAAGGGTTGTGAGCTTGCAGACAAACAAGATAAAATATTTATGTAAAACTGAGACAAAGAATAGTCTACCGGGAAAGAAACTGAATGCGTCGGCCATGGATACAAACCTATGAAGGCCTATTTATACTGATAAATGAAGTTCTGCCCCGTTAACGTAAAAAACCAACTCCTTGTGCAGGACAACGTGTTTGCTCTCCAATGCATGAGTTTCTTGAGTTATCATTAGACACAGTAAGTGATGGCTTTCCAAGATTCGTTCATTGATGAAGATTTTAACACTAACAGCAGGTGATAGGAATAATTGTTCGCAGGAGAGTAATTGAGGTGTCATCTGGGGAAGGTTATCTGGCTTTTGTACCAACAGCAAAAATTGAGAAAGCAGTAAAATCTCAGAACCAACTGCGACTGATCTGAAGCCATTTTTAAGTGGTATGGTAACAATCTTTTAAACTTTGGGCTTCAATTTTTTCTCCAAGTTGCCAGAAACTCAATTTTTGTGCAGTTCGTGAATTCCACATCGGGGAGCGTACTTTCAATGTCGTCAGACCCGGGCTGATAGTTGTC